TATATATATAACAAGTGAAACTGTAAATAAGAAATGTGTACAATAGGTGGCAAGCTTGTAGTCTTAGGCAGCAGTCATTTTGTTTGTTAGCTCCACGGCTCTATAATTTACATCTTGTATTGAGGAAATTGGTGAGAAGCAATCTTCTCTATAGTGTCTTTAGAAAGGTATTTTCTCTGAAAATCAAGAGTTTTCAAGTTAACCGACAAAAGGGTAAGAACTCTTCTGTCTGAAGTTGGCAGAAGGATCCAGAGTCAGGGTCAGAAGGAGTCCAGGCAGCTGGTGTTGCCCTGCAGGCAGGGTAGGGTAACCCTCTGGAAGGGCATCTGCAGGGGAGTTCCCGGAGGAAGCAAGTGGTTTGGTCTGTGTTGACCCAGGTACATGATCTCTGCTGGGTGGTCACTGGTAGAAAGTTCTGGAGTAGATTCAAGCATGGACAGGGGATTTAGATCCCGGGAGCTCTAAGGTGCCCCCCGGCCCTGACATCAGTGAGTTTGTGGTTTGTAAGACCTCTTCCCTTGAGAAAGGCATTTCAAGTAGTGGTGCTGACACACATGGAAAGGGTGTGTGTGACCTGAGTCCAGTCCAGGAGTTGGAGGATCGAGGCTGAGGCTGGTCCCTCACAGCTCCTTCAGGATGATCTGGATCTTGCCGTCCAGCTCACCCATATCCAGCAGGAAGGCCACATGGTTGCTGTAATGCTGGATAATGTTATTATCCATGTTGACTAGGATTCTGGAAGACAAGAGTAGACATGGTTGCAATGTGTGTCCTGGCCCCTCTGATGTCAAAGATGACGGCAGCATTACAGGTGTCTCACCAACTTCCTCTGACCCTCAAAACCAGCCCGCAAGGTATGCATTCCCAGTGGCCAAGCCTCAACTCAAACCTTGGTCTGCTGGTCACCATGCCCATGCCTGCTGGTAGATTGCTTCCCTCTGATGTGCCTGAGTGCAGATGTTTTTGAGTAACTGATGTGCAGGTCCCGAGGAGACACTGCACTCCTCAGTCATCAGACTGGAGATTCAGAGTATAAGTTCAAGACTAGGTGCTATGACAGTCTGGGTTCAGCAAGAAGCTATACTGAGCTATGGAGGTGTGCCTGCCTGAGCCACAAAACACCTATCTTGAGGGGATTATACAATAGACTGGAGGGATGTAGCCCCATCTCCCCTCACCCTCAAGATGGGACCTGGCCATACATGGACTCTGAAAGGTTCAGAGTCATAGTTTATGCCAAGGGTACCTTATAGGAACTGCCTCCCTGATGAAAAAAACCATAAGAAGGTGACAGAACTGAACATGTATGTTTCACTTTGTCCCTTTTCTGCTAAGCTCCTGAGTAGGTAATAGAGTTGTGTGTATCTACTCACCAACTATCGACCCACCCATGCATCTGTCTGTCCACCTAACCATCCATCTATTTATCCAGCCATTCATCTACCTATCTACCCACCCACCATCTGTCCAGCCATCTAGCTACCTATCCATCTATCCACCTATCCATCTATCTACCCACCATCTACCCATCATCTATCCATCAATTTACTACCATCTGCCTTCCCATCAATCCATCTATTCATCTACCCAGTAGACATGGTTGCAATGTGTGTCCTGGCCCCTCTGATGTCAAAGATGACGGCAGCATTACAGGTGTCTCACCAACTTCCTCTGACCCTCAAAACCAGCCCGCAAGGTATGCATTCCCAGTGGCCAAGCCTCAACTCAAACCTTGGTCTGCTGGTCACCATGCCCATGCCTGCTGGTAGATTGCTTCCCTCTGATGTGCCTGAGTGCAGATGTTTTTGAGTAACTGATGTGCAGGTCCCGAGGAGACACTGCACTCCTCAGTCATCAGACTGGAGATTCAGAGTATAAGTTCAAGACTAGGTGCTATGACAGTCTGGGTTCAGCAAGAAGCTATACTGAGCTATGGAGGTGTGCCTGCCTGAGCCACAAAACACCTATCTTGAGGGGATTATACAATAGACTGGAGGGATGTAGCCCCATCTCCCCTCACCCTCAAGATGGGACCTGGCCATACATGGACTCTGAAAGGTTCAGAGTCATAGTTTATGCCAAGGGTACCTTATAGGAACTGCCTCCCTGATGAAAAAAACCATAAGAAGGTGACAGAACTGAACATGTATGTTTCACTTTGTCCCTTTTCTGCTAAGCTCCTGAGTAGGTAATAGAGTTGTGTGTATCTACTCACCAACTATCGACCCACCCATGCATCTGTCTGTCCACCTAACCATCCATCTATTTATCCAGCCATTCATCTACCTATCTACCCACCCACCATCTGTCCAGCCATCTAGCTACCTATCCATCTATCCACCTATCCATCTATCTACCCACCATCTACCCATCATCTATCCATCAATTTACTACCATCTGCCTTCCCATCAATCCATCTATTCATCTACCCCATCCATCCATCTATTCATCCACCCCATCCATCCATCCATCCATCCATCCATCATCCATCCATCCATCATCCATCCATCCATCCATCCATCCATCCATCATCCATCCATCCATCATCCATCCATCCATCCATCCATCCATCCATCATCCATCCATCCATCATCCATCCATCCATCCATCCATCCATCCATCATCCATCCATCCATCATCCATCCATCCATCCATCCATCCATCCATCATCCATCCATCCATCATCCATCCATCCATCCATCCATCCATCCATCATCCATCCATCCATCATCCATCCATCCATCCATCCATCCATCCATCATCCATCCATCAATCCATCTATCCATCATCCATCCATCAATCCATCCATCCACCTATCCATCCACTTGTCCTCCATCTGCCCATTTATTTCTCATCTCTCATCCTTTGTTGATCCTGTGCAGGGCCTCACTCCAAAACCAAGGGCTTATGTCGCCACCACGTCCAGATTGAGGTTTTAATTAAACTATTGTCTTTCTACTGTATCATTTTTCTGAATAAGAAAAAAAAAAAAGCCCTGTAAATACAAGTTAGGTGGTGGCAGATAAAAGGAAGGCAAAGACCAAGGTTGGGGAAGAATTCACGTAGATTCCTGCTTTTGTGAGGACCCCAAGGGAGGGCAGTGGGGTCAGCAGTGACCCCAAAGCCCATGGTCTGTCTAAGTCACCTCTGGTAGCACCAGCTTGGCAGTGGCTTCTTTGGGGAAGAAGTTTAGGGCAGGGGCTCCAAGATTTCAGGGGCTGGCTGATAGGACTCTATGCATTCCACAGGGTTGTAGGCTGGGGACAGGCCAGAGGGCATGGCTGGACAGAGGCGCAGGCATTCCTGCAACCTCAGGGTTGGGTGTCCATTTCCCACAGTGGCAATCAATCAGCTTCCAGGTACTAGGTGGTGTATGAATGCCTGCAGGGCAGCGGTGTGAAGGTGGACTCCCTCTGGCTTAGAGACCCTCCCCTCAGGAGTCAATGACGACTGCACCCCAGGAAGCAGGGGCTTGTATGAAACTACTGTGGCTTCCTACCTTCCAGCTCTCTTCTGCCTGGGTGGAATTAAACCCCTGGCCTGCTGCCAGAAAAAACAATGTATTGGTTAATCTTTCAAGCACTCTGTGATGCCTGTAAAGTTGATTTTATCTGCTTTGGTCCAGAGGCCTTTTGTGAGGACTTGTGAAAATAAACCAGGCCTGGGGTTAGAATGTCCTCTCTCTCTCTCTGATGCAGACCCTGGTAGAGACAGAAAATATCTCTGGCCTCCCCTTTCCTAAAAAGGAATTTCAGGGAAGATTCTCTTTCAGACCTGGTAGACCATCCTTGGGCTGCTGTTTCCATGGTTGTCTGGGCCACAGAGGTTGCAAAGTGATGCCCTGGGTCATAATGCTGGACAAAGAAACTGGTCTGTCTGGCCACAGACTTTATTTGCACATTGCTTAGTGGTCAGAGGAACAAGCAGGGAGCGTTAAAACAATGGGGGTACGTGGACTTTAGGCAGTCAGGAATCCTTTCTGCAGGTCCCTAACTCAGGATCTGTCACTACTCCGGACCTCAGTTTCCTCACCTGTAGAACAGAAACAGGCATGATCCCACTGAGCTCAGAGGACCTGTGAGATGATGCTGGGTTTGCCAACGGAAGTCATTACAATTACGGTTTGTACAGCTGCTAGGGGTCGAAGGGAAGGCCTCTGGCGACTGAGCCAGGAGGCAGGGGTAAAGATCTGCACAGCTCAACAGGCCTCCCATCATACACGAAGCCACTTCCAGGTCCATCAGCCTAGCCTGGGGTAGGATTTGCAGGGGAGCCCCATACAGGTGGGACAGGGGATGTGGGCGTGGTGCTGAAGGGGAAGTGGGGCCAGGCCTGTCTGGGCAAAGTAGACAAGAAACAGATTCCACTCCAGACAGTGTGTGAACCCTAGTATGAAACCGAAACTTGCAGGGTAAAAAAAAAGACCCATACACAGACAAAACCCTCTAGCTCTCATGCAGCCCAAACTGAAGGGGTCCTTTCCCAGGGGCCACAGGATAGATACCTGCTGTACCCCACCCTTCTGTGTGGGAGGTTGGGTGGGAGCCATAGAGGTAAGGAGAGCTGAGCCTGAGAAAGGCAGTCGGGCCTGGCTCTGGGCAGATGGGCCTCACTTTGCAAAGATTTCTTTCTAGGAGAACCCACAGACCACAGAGTGGGCAGGTCCTGGGACCTTACAGGGGCCGTGCGTAGGTGCAGCTGGATTTAGACTGTCTAGAGGGGTCAGGCTGAGCTCTGGACATAAGGCCTGAGGAACTGGCCAACTCCTGGAGAGTATAGCTTGCCTCCCTCCTGCATTGGTCAGCCTGGAGGTGGAGGAGGCCCAAGGAGCTCCTTGGCTGAGCCTTCAACTTGACCCCCATCACAATTCCCATTTAGCTCTGGGCAGTCATCTCTGCTCGGGGTGGCTTTGCTGGGCCTTCACACCCCTGTGCTTTTGCACCACTGTTCCTGCCCTTACTCATCATTGCTGACCCTCAGTTTCCCTGTCTGTGAAATGTGGGCAATGGCATCTACCTCCGAGTATGTATGGGAGGGTTAAAAATGAGACATGCTTAGTTAGCCTAATCTCTGACACAGGCAGTCGGGCAAATGGTGGTTACCACAATTAACAACATAATGTTGTTAATTGTCCCAGTGACCTTGGGACTTGAACTTGGATCTTCTGATGAGTGGCCCGTGTATTTCCCATCCACCCCAGGAGGTTACTTGTGAGAAGAGCCTCTACCTCCCTCTCACCCCTAACTTTGCCACCAAGGATCAGTGTCTGGTTTCTGCAGGTGGAGTGACAATGGTGGCCTGACAGGGACACTCTCCACCCCTACTGAGCATGCTTCTGTGTCTCCACAGCTTTGTCAGTTCTGAGTAGCCAGCAGACAGGCTGACTGAATAGGGCACCTACCCTCGCTTGCATTTCTTGTAGACCTTGTAGATGTTCTCTTCGGGGAATCCATACTTCTCAGAGATCTGGAAGGGAATAGGGTTTCACTGTCTGTGGTCCAAACTGGGACTATACATACCTTTCATACCGTTGCTTTTTACTTCCTGATTACAAAAGTAATGCATATCTGGACTATGAAAAACTAGGAGGGACTGACAACAGTAATACTATTTTGCCAAAGTAAACACCAGTGGCCTCTGGATGTATACGGTCTCCTCTTTGGATCAATGCATATCACACATAGGCGACTGCATATCATTTTATATTGTCTTATGATAAGCCATATCTCAAGACACACTCAACAAACCACACTTTCAGTGCCTGTAAAATACCCTGCTGAGCATCTGCCATTTCTGCCAGCTACCACCTAGTGCCTGATATTTGGATCATGTTGGTGCTTAGGGTGCTGCCATTGGCTGGTGACCTTGTGCACATCCTGTGGGGACAGTAAAAATGTCCACCTCAGGGGTCTGCTGGAAGAATTAAATGACTCATGTAATATACTTATAACAACTCCTGACCTATACCAAAGTTCTCAAGGGTGGCCAATGTTACTGTCTTGGAAGCAGAGCCTGGTCCTGCCAAGCCGTTAGTAATCTCAACTGATGAGTGACATTCTGAGCTCCAAGTACCCAATCCTGGCCCAGGGTCTAGAAGCCTGTTATGTCCTACTATGTTGGAATTTCTCTTATAGATAAGGCAACTGCTTGGAAGTTTGCTGAGTGGCCTGCCTGAGCCCAGGTAGACAAAGCCAGTCCATTTGTCTCTAGAGTTCCCCAAGTTTTCTCTGTGGAGATGGATCCCATCTGGTCCTGCCTCACACTGGAGCTGCAGAAGTCTGAACAGTCTCCCTCTGAGCCTTAGTTTCCACTTCTGTGAAATGGGTGCTGTTGTTACACAGAGAGGGACTTTGGACAGAAGCTGAGACAATCATGTAAAGGCCAGAGCGCAGTTAAATGCTGCTGCCTGGTGGATCTGGTTGCTGTGACACTGCAGCTAAGCCTGAGCCTGTGACACCAGGGTCAGGAAGAAGGAAGGGTTCAATTCCCTGGGTATTCTTGACAGAGAGTCCTCCAAACCAGAAATGTTCCTGGACTTTATTTCAATATGAACATAGCTAGAAACTACTGGGAGAGGATCTCATCTATGGAAGGAAGAAGTCAAGAACTTTCTGAATGCAAGTTGGGACAGCATGGGCTGTCCCAAAAGGTGGCAAGCTCTCCACCTCTGGAAATACTCAGGTCAAGAGTGGATGCAAGCGAGGAGCTCATTCTATAAACTGCTCCGAGAAGACTCTGAGTTTGTATTCAAGTGACATTAACAGCTTTTTGTGAGCCCCACTTCCTGGGGCAGATGCCAAGCAGGCTGACAGTGCATAACGTGGGCAGGACAGCATGGAGTGTGGAAAACTCAGGCTGGAATCACAGCTCTTCCATTTTTAACAAGTCACCCAACCTCTCGGGAGTGAGGTGATGCTAACAATGTCTGCTGGAGAATGGAAGAGGCAGGCACATGTGGCAGGTCTAACAAGAACTGGGGGCACAAGGTGGGTCTCCATCAAACAACCCATCAAAGCTGCTAAGGGAGTATCTGATCCATTTCCCTTCCTTTAGCTGTCGAGGGGTTCCACTTTTCAAGCCCAGAGCCCTCCTGGCTCTGTGGACCCAGAGCTGCTGGGCGCTGGCTCAGTGCGAGGCTGTTCTGTCTGCTCTCTGGTGACTGGGGATTTGGGGAAGGTCTCCTAACCCAGATACAGCCCTGCCCTCAGCCACCCCAGGCCCTGAAAACAGGAAGAATGAGCCCCCAACCCCCCGGAGGGGAAAAGAGCATCTCTGGGCCTGGCCTTTTTTTTTTTTTTTTTTTTTTTTCTTTTTTGGTTTCATTCCCATTAAAACAGAAACAGGTTTGCAAAGCCAACAAAAGCCCTGGCCTGTCAGACAGCAGCCATCAGATTAAAGAGGATTTATGATGTGTGCGACTCCCAGGGTGGAGCAGGGCTCAGAGATAACATCAAGAGGCACACCCCCTGGCAGGGCCCTGGCCCCCTGCTGGGTGGGACCCATAGGTCACCAGAGCCCTCCTGTGGGAAATGGGGCACCTTACCGCATTCCTCAGCCCCTTCAGGTCTGGGGTCTTCAACATGAGCGCATCAAACACCTCTTCTGTCTCCCTCCGCACGTATAATAGAACTGAAAACCAACAGGGAGGTTTTTAGGGGTTCAGAGAGGATGCTGAGCCTGGGAAGATTGGAGCGGTTCTTTATAAGGCATGATTTTAATGTAGGATGCTTTCTGTGGCCAGCTGAAACGTTCCACTTTTCCTTAGTACCTTCCTAGACTGCCCTGATTTTGGAGGGTTGAATCAGGTCTGGTTCTACGACCTGACAGCTGGTGGCCTTGAAAGGTGACTTCAACATCCCTAAGCTTCATTTTGTTGGTATGTAAACTGGAGTTCCTGCTCCCCACTTCAGAGCAGAGTTGCTGCCAAAATCATAGAGTTTGGAAACTCCAAGTACAATGCCATATTCAGGTCCTGGCTGCTGGGGAGTTTGGTCTCAGCTGTTGGTAGGAATCTTCCCTTAAGGTCAGCTAAGCTTCCAGAAGCTGTGTGCTCCTAGCTCCAAACCACAGATTTAAGAGTCTCAAAGCTAGACAACTAGACAGAGTAGAGTGGGAGCCCCTCTGCCCCGCCCCCTTAGAGAAGCATGAACCTTGCTCAGCCCAACAGGACTGTCCCCTGTGCCAGCCACCCTGGGACAGCTTTCCAAACAAGGTCAAAGCTACAGATGCTCTCCAGCTCTGTGGCTATCTCTCTAGGTTCTCCTCAATCATCCTCAGCCTAATTCATTCCAGGGAGTGAAGCAGGCCTTTTTGCCCTGGCGAAGCCTCACAGGGTGGATGGGTGGGTGGGGGGGTTCTGAGGGATTCTAAGGGTGCAAGCTACCTCTCTGAAGGTCATCTTCTTTGGCCTGCTTGGAGGGCAGAGGTTCGAACTCTTCAGCAAAGGGTGAGCAGGTACGCTTCAGCGGCAGCCTGTGGGGACAGCAGGGATGTGTTGGTGAGGACATCTGGGCCTCCAGGGGCCTGTGGGGTGGGGAAGGCCACAGGAGAGGGACACAAAGCAGCAGGGTTGAAGGTGAAATAAGCTGGGAGCGAGTCTGTCTGGTCAGAGCCACCCTGCCACATGTTGAGAGCATCAGGGCTGGGCTCTTAGCCTTGAGTGACCCGTCTGTGAAGAGGGGCACAGAGAAAGCACAGCTAAAAGCCCTACAGAGAGCTGTCATGAGGCTATGGAAGGTGAACTGTTAGCACATTTCTCCTAGAAGAAGCAAGGCAGGGGCAGCGCTCTGGGAGGAGGAAGGATTGTGGGGTCTGGTGTGAGACTGACTTGAGTTCAAGTCCCATTTCTGCTACTTAATACTGGGTGACTATGGACAAGTCACTTTGCTTTTCTAAGCCCCAGTTTCCTCTTCCAGACCCCTGACTCCTGCTCGCCTAACTCACCAGGGCTGGAGTGAGGTGATAAGAAACAGAATTTGGAATGAAAGCACCGTATGAAACATACATGTTGGTTATGGAAGAAATGGATTCCAACGAATGGTCTGTGTGTAACTGCTACGCACACTCACGCCACCCTCCCTCCTGCTCTGGAGAGGCTCAAGGTTCCCCAGGACTGCTGGGGCAGAGGCTGTGGCTGACAGAGGGCAGGGCATGGGTGGCTGTGGCCTCTGGGAGTGGTGTTTGGGGAGGGGGTATCCTCCAGCACAGCCCTACTCTGTGTTCTCAGCACATGCACCGTCATCTCAGGCTTTTCTTTGGTTTTTTACAAGCAGGTGTCTCGCCAGAGATTCGCTGACTTTCCATATAAAGCAAACCCATAAAAATGCAGGCGGTTTCAGTGGGAAGAAAGGACAAGTCCAGCCTGGTGGTGGGGGAGAGCTGGCTGTCTTCCTGGCCCAGACCTGGCTCCAGATAGCAGGGGAAAGGCAAAGGGTAGTGTGGTGGGTACGGGGGTTGGGTGAGGGGGAGGGCCCTTGGCTGCTTCTCCTGTACCTGTCAGAGCTGCTGTGTCCTGCTGTGGGGACGACCTGTAATAAAAACATTTCTGGTCATACACAGGAAGACAGAGGAGAACAGTCTTAGCTGCTGGAGGCTTCTTGGGGGGACCTTCTCTGGGAAGGAAGGGGATGGTACCATGTCAGTGCCTTCCTATCCTGCTCAGATGAGTCCCTGAGTGAGTTGGGGTCTTGAGTCAAGAGAAACTGTCCAGAGCTGCTGCATCGAGGGACTTGGGGACACAGCAGAAGTGCTCTAGCACCACTGGCAGAACCGAGAGCTGGCCTGAGCCCAGCATATTCAGAGGTGGAAGCTACTGCCGCTGGACCCCCAGCTGGTGACAGGGATAACAGGGAGATGGAGCTGAGGCAGGGGTGGGGTGAGGGCAAGGTGCCTAGAGCACACTGTGCCCCCAGTGCTCCTGCTACACACAGCACTGTCCAGCAGGCATTGCCCATGAGGTCCTGTGTGGTGAGTGTCCGGGCCCAGAGAGGGCGCTAATCTTGAGTTGCCATCCCTACCATGGGGTCTTGGCCTGCCAAATGGAACCAAGGGAGTTGCCACTGCCTGAGGGATGGAGGCCACCAAGCTGCTTCCACAGAGGCAGAGAGGATGGTAAAGGGGGACATGCTCAGGGCCACTCTACACTAGGAGCTCTGTCTAGTTCCAAGGTATGCCTCCTGTCCTAACTCAGACACAAAACACAGATCAGGTATCGTGGACCTTTCTTCAAATGCTCCTGGGGAACCATAGGAGCTGGGCCCTTAGCAGAAGGAAGTGGCCGACTTCTAGAGACGGAAGCAGAGGGGAGGGAGGTAGGCTCTGTGGCTTGACTAGTGTGGCCTTGCCTGGCAAAGGGGACAAACAGTCTCCCTCAAAGGATGGCAGCACAGGAGTGAGGTAACACAGCCAAGTTGATGCCCAGTGCCCCCTGGCTACAGGTGCTCAGGTATGGCAGCCAGGACTGAGGCACATGAATCCTGAGCCAGACTGAGTAGTGTCTCCAAATCCTGGCTGTGTGATTCGGTGGTTCTTAGCTTTTCTCTGCCTCTATCCTGGCCTTCAGACCCAGTATCATGGACTCATAGGGGTACAGCAAGGGTTGGGGATGCAGCCGGGCACATTTAGTGCAGTACATATGGTACTCCCACAGTGGTGCATGATGGGGACCAGTCACCCAACTCAGATGCAGCTGCAGATGATATCCATGTGGGCCCAAGCTTGGATGGTTTGATGCGTACAGAATCCATTTCATTTTTCCTTTTCTAGTGACAGGTCCCTGAGGCTGTACACCCTCACAGTCATTTCTTAGTGACCCTGGACTTATCAGAGGTAGTTGACTTTTAAACAGCAGGACCTGGAAACACTTCAATGGACCATCACGGGGGTGGGGGGCGGAGGGCGGGGAGGTGTAGGGCGATCACTACAGTATACTTAAATGGGCCCAACGTGAGGCCAGGACCCCCTCCAGACCCCTCCCACCTGCCCTTTCCTTACCCCTCCAGGGCGCTGCAGGCTGGAGAAGTGCACATTGGGGATAAACAGCACAGGCTGGGTTTCCAGGTCAGCTTCAGGCCGTAGGTAGGTGGTCTCATTGCCCCTGAAGCCAGACAGTAGGCAGCCCTTGATGCCTGTTGGAAAAAGAAGCCACTGAGCCCTGAGGTCTCTTCCACACAGGACTCTGGCCTCCTGCCCTGGGCCACCTTCCCTCCAGCCCAACCCAGTCGGATGTCTACTGACCACTGTTGCTGGAGTCTGGACATTTGACTTTCCTCCGAAACTGCTTCCGCTCATCATCACGCATCTTCCTCTCAGCTCCCTGCAGAGAGAGGTGGGGGTCACCAGGGGTCAGGGGAGGGGCTGGCCACTTCCACAACTGCTGCTTTATATTTTAAATATGGGCCAGGAAATGGGAAGAGACCAGCATCTGGTCTGGATTGCCTGACTCAGGCCTTGAGAGAGATGGAGAAGAAGGAAGCTTATAGAAACAGAGAGAGGGTGAGAGAGAGTTGAGAGAAACAGAGAGACAGGAACTGGAGTGGGG